TGTGACTGTGGGGGCCATTATCCCTGCACTTCCCAGTGTGGCATGTTGATTGGACAGAGATCATGTGACTGGAGCTTGGGCTTCTGGAACAGGTTTAGAGCCCCAAACTAGCTGGGATCCAGGCTGCTTGGGAATGGCTGTGACCCAACTCCTTTGATAATAGCAGCCCTTTGTCACTGGATGTTGTGACTAATGGGACTTGTTGATTCAATGATTTGGCTCCCACCCACAGAAGTTGGGTGTTCTGTTACGGCATCAGGCAGCTGCAGACAACCCATAGTTCTCTTCTCTTTCCCACTCTATGAAGTGAAGTTCCCAGCACTGCCCAAGTGAGTTGTCTTATGCTCTCCTGGGGCTCTTCAGTTCCCAGCCCTTGAGGCTTCTCCTTCCCCAAACCTCTGGAGTGGGGCACTGGGTATGTGCTGGGAGCTCTTTTAGAGCCAAGACCAGTCTATTTCTTAACTTGTTTAAGAAAGTTCCCAAAGTTAAGCAAGTTCCCAAGTGATGATTCTAGACTTTTGAAGGAATCCATTTAATATCAAAATTCTGTGACCTTAACATTTTTCTTTTATTACACCTTATTTTGTGTGCATGTGTATTTGTATGTGTGTGGGCATGCACATGGACAGGAGGACAACTTGGGGAAGTCAGTTCAGTTCACTCCTCCTACCATGTGGGTCCTGGGGATGGAACTCATGTGATCAGACTTGGAGGTGATGCTTCAGATACAAAGATAAGCACTATGGAGTTGGTAATGCTCTTTAAGGGCTATGTGATTTAGATATCATTGAAGTTGCACAGTAGGTGATGTGGTAGTGTCTTAGGGTGCTGATGGGAAGCCAGGAGTCTTTGTATCTGGCAGCTAAGAGTAGTGGGTGGGGGCAGATGGGCATCTTCTCCAGAAAGCCCACAATCCCTGAACCTCTTGGAGACATCCACTTGATACCATTCCCTGAAACACAAATGAGGTGTATTCATACCCAGGATACCATGGCAAAGTGCTGGAATATGGACTACCCTCAGCCCTAGGCAGCCAGGACATAGGGCTCCATCAGATTGCAATGGCTGTCATAGAGGGTAGCCTTCTTTCTAGCTAGTGTGGATGTAGGAGCTGCCAGGAAGTGGCTCCAGGCTGCAGTTAAGCATCCCAGCCAGCCTTCTGCCCACAGCTCCTAACATGCTCTTTGGCAATGGCTTGCAACTGGAGGTGAACTTTCTCCTGTACCTTGTCCTGACCCATGCTGAGTCAGGACTCCGTGTGTGCCTGGTACCCCCCTGGGCTGCTAGGCAGGGCTAAGCATTCATCTTGCTCCCTGGTGCTACAGCTGTAGTAAAGAAACTGAGACAATTTTGCTTGAAACAGATGGACTCAGCCAGGGAAAATGGTCCTTAGGCTTGGGGAGTGGGGAAGAAAGGATGTACTGTAGTGTGGGGACATGGTTTGTCTAGCTGGCCTTGGGTAGGTCCTTCACTCTGGGAGGTGCTGTTTCTTATGTCTCAGAGATGCTAATCTCAGCCAACCTAAGGAGTTGCAGGGGAGAGGTGTAGGAATCAAAGTGAATGGTAGGAATTCTCTCCATCCCCAGGGAAGACTCTCCCTGCACTGGGTCTGTGCCTTGGGTGTGTCACCCGGGGTCCTTACTACACAGCCTCGGGGGATGCCCACAGCGATGTGCTGATTGGTCTTCTCTTCTGCTCTATATCTGGACCCCACGGGTCTGCTCCAGTGATCCTTCCTGCTAGCCCAAATCACCCGGCTTCCAGGCTCTGTGCATCAGTGAGGGAGCTAAGTGGCCCCGAGTTTGATAACATAGACCATGAAACTCTTTCTTACCATGATGGTTCAGCTATATTCCTTGAAAAATGTGTGTGTGTGTGTGTGTGTCCTGTATCCATGTGTGATGTACATGAACCACAGCAGGCATGTGGAAGAGGTCAGGCAAACTTACAGGAATCTTTTCTTCTCTGCACTTGAGTCCCAGGGTCAAACTTAGGTTATCACATTTAGTGGTAAGCACCTTTACCAGCTGAGCCATCTTGCCACCTCCGTTCCTGTTCTCAATTTGTTTGGTAAGCAGCTGATTTTCTTGAGGCCTGCAGAGGAGAAAGATAAGGCTGGCTTGCCTTTACCTCCCCAAGTGGCAAAAGGGGATGGCTTGATGCGAGTTTCTTTATCCCTTCACATCCCAGAAATGATACTGAGGAGGGAGGGCCCTCAAGAGCTCTTGAGAACACAACAGGCTTCTAAATGGTACCTGAAATTGCATCAAAAACTCCAGTCAGCTGGGACCTGGGGAGTCATGGTTCAGACTCACCACTCCCCAACACACCCCATTTCTTCATGGGCTGAAGTTTCTTTATTCCCACCCCTGTGATACCATCATGAATGGTCCCAGCTGAGGGTGGAGGTCAGTCAGGGAGCTGTTTCTGTTTCCTTAGCAGAGGTTGGGGGTTGCTGCCCCCCTCCCCGCCCATTCCCTGCTCTGGACCTGGTTTGCTGGTTTCAGTAGAGATTTGCTTTAGAAGCTTGTTGTGTATACAAGATCCTAGTGGGATAAGCTGAACAAAGCCAGGGAAACAAATTGCTTCCCTGTGAAAATCCAATCTTATCTAGCTCTTAGAGAGGCCCTCCCTTTTGGGAAATTACTGATTTTTAGGATTTCCCTATGGTGGTGGTGGTTAGCTGCCTTAATGTTTGCCTGGATCCCAGGATATCTTCATGCCATAGCTACCTCAATTGAATAAGATCTGCACCCCTGGTGTGTGACTCAGGCTGGTCTAGCTGCGTCCAGGACCTCTGGCCCAGCTCCAGCTCTCCCTCCAATGTAAGGAGTCCCTAGGTTAGGAACTGGTAGAGTTGGGACCTAGATAAGGAGGTCTGTTCCTGTCTGGAGGGTGCTGTTTTCCCTCACTAAAGGAGTCAGTCACGGGGAAGGCTACCACAGGAATCTGGGGTACCACCTGGGGTAGTATAGACAGGATGTGGGCTGTCAGGTGATGTGGGGATAGACTCTTTAACTATGGATGATGAACCACAATGAACTTTGAGTGTCTACTGTAGCTGTTCTCAACCTCTGCGTCACGACCCCTTTAGGGTCATAGACCAGATATTTCTCCATTACGATTTATAACAGTAATGAAATTATAGTTATGAAGTGGCAATGAAATGATTTTGTAGGTGGGGGTCGCCACAACATGAGGGACCGTATTAAAGTGTCGCAGTGTTGGGCAGTGACTGCTCACTGGAGTTGAGCCACAGTGAACCAACTGTACTTGAAGTTGGGTCTGTGTGAACTCAAAGCCTTTGTCCTGGGGAGAAGAGTGTGCTTTTGCTTTGTACTTCTAAAGGAAGTTCAGTGTTACTTCTGGCCTAGCAGCTTCTACACACACTGAACCGCCCCCATAACCAGTAGAGCTTATACAGCTGTAGCTTTTCTCCGTGGGTCCCACAGCCCTATTCGTGAGTGAGACCAATAGGGCTGTCTGGGTCCTCTCTGCATGGTCTGCAGAGGCTCTGTCCTGCCTCCTCATGAAATTCTATCTTGATCCTGTGTTCCCCTGCTCATATGAGCCTCCTCCCCCGAATCCCAGAGTTCCTCATCACAAATAGAGCCTCTCTCACTCATTACTTAGAACAATAGGCAGGGGCACTTGTTACATACTAAGACTGTGTGTTCTTTTACTTCACACAGAAATTTTGTGACCGTTTTGTAGTGCAGGTGATAGTGCTGACACCCATTATTCAGGTGGGGAAAGTGAGGCTGTAAGATGTGTGGTGACATCACTGGGGCCACTCAGCAGGTAAATGACAGAGGTCTGGGGCAGGGATCTCTGGGGCCCTTTAGCTGAACCATATTAATTCTTTTTCTGTTTTGTTGACACAGTAGTCTCTGTGTAGCCCTGGCTGGCCCAGAACACACGTAGAGAAGGCTGGCCTCAAATTTGCTGTAATCTTTTATGTCTCCCTCTTCAGTATTATGATTGTAGGCATGTGTTACTTCTTTCAGCTGTTGTCCTGGTTCTGGTCTGTGCTGGGACCCTTGTAAGATGGTCTGAGCTGGGTTCTGTGGGCTAGTCTCATTGCCAAGCATGTCACCTACTTACCTGGGCCTTCTGTACCTGGTGTCCCGGAACCAGTGCTGGGGAGGCTCAGGGGCCTGACTCTGTCCCTTTCCCATCCTGCCTAGCTGGGGGCAGTGCACCACATCCCCCATCCCTGCCCAAGTCCCTGGACTATGTTTGCACTCCACCACCTGCAGCCCCTTAGAGTTGGAGCCAGCAAGGCGGGCCACATTCCTGCAGCTGCTGTTGCCAAGGAGAGCCCATCCCAGGCCCACAGCCCATTCATTGGCGCCTCCTTATTGCAGAAGCCTTTTCAGATTAGTTTCCACTGTCCCCAGCCTAAAGGGTGTCCCGTCCTTTCTTCACTAAGAAGACCAGGATACAGTCCTTCCTGTGGCTGAGAAAATGGTCCTGTGACCGGGCCTGGGGCCACCCTGGGTGGGCAGAGCTGCCTTAGCCCAGACAGCTCCACTATGCCGGGCCTGGCTCTCTGCTTCTCACACTTGAGGCTTCTGTGTCCACACCCCAGGGTCTAGCTCAGCTGGACACTGATTTTCTTCTGGGGGACTGTGAAAGCTGGTGGCTTCCATGCCTGATTCTCAGGGTAAGACCAACCAAAGTGTTTCACAGGGATCACAGCTTGTAGTCCCAGGTTGGGTTCCCTCTTTAGAGAGCACCCTGGGGGTAGGACCATGTGCCCATCTCTTGCATCTCCACTTGGCACCAGGTTAGGTCGTTATAGCATGGGGGATACGAGGAGGACCAGGGAGCTCCGCAGAGCTGAGTGCCCCAGAGCCGTATGCAATGGCTTCATGGCTTCCTACATGTATAGCTGGGATAGTAGACTGAGCCTGTTTGGCTGCCTAAGATGTGAACTCAGGGATGCTGGGCATTGGCTGAGCCTAATCTCAAACCCCTCTCTGATCTCTTTTTTCCAGCAAATTGTGGCCGTCAATGTGCCCCCTGAGGATCAGGATGGCTCTGGGGATGACTCTGACAACTTCTCTGGCTCAGGCACAGGTAAGGTGGGCCCAGAACACTGAGATAGCCACAGGTCATGGCTGGAGTGGGTGAGCAGGCAGTTACTTAGCTTTAGTGAGCCTCCTTCCTTCCCCATCCTGCCCTCAGCCATCAGAGTCACAGAGACAGTGCCAAAGGGAAGAACAGTGTTTAGCTGCAGTTAAGGGACCCCCCCCCCACACACACACACAGTGAAGTGAATTGGCTCTAGGAGGCCATGGACAGCCTTTGGAGACAACTCTTGGAGAAGGAGTTTGACTGAGCCTTGGTGTTTCCATCTGTGAGACCCAGAGGCTGTTGGGAGCTGTTGTAGCATAGGGTCTGCTGGCTATAGAATTACCCTCACCTCTTTCCCTAGATAAATTCTGTCTGGAGAAGAGAAGGCTGTGAACTGCAGCTAGCCTAAGAGGTCTCCAAGAAGGGAGGTGTGGGGAGGGGGAGCTCAGAAGGGAAGTCAGGGGAGCAGTGGGAAGTAATCCAGAGCAAAGGGCTGGGAGATAGTAGGATGCCTGCATGAGTTCCCAGGGAGACAGGTAGGATGCAGCCATGAGTTCCTAGGGAGATAGGAAGGATGCAGCCATGAGTTCCTAGGGAGATAAGAAGGATGTAGCCATGAGTTCCTAGGCCTTTGGGGAAGAAGGCAGTATAGGTGTGTGTCCTGAGTTAGGGTCCTATGTATGGTGCTTTAGCCCATGCTCACAGCAGAGCCCCTTCCCAGATTCCTGGGATCTTCCTCACAGTTCAGAGAGCATGCTGTTCCCAGGCAGCTGAAGCTGCAAAGAACATCTTTTTCTGGTCTGTATTTTAGAGTTGAGCCTTGACTAGTTCACCTTGGAGGACTCAGACCCCAGTCTCTTCACAGCATGAACTTGTCAGGCTTGACACTTGGGCGCCTCCCTACCCTGACATCCCTGATTCTATCTCTGTAGGTGCTTTGCCAGACATCTCGTTGTCACGGCAGACTTCTTCCACTCTGACAGCCACACCCACAGCTCCAGAGCCCACCAGCAGGGACTCTGAGGCCACCTTCACCTCCATCCTGCCAGCCAGAGAGAAGCCTGAGGAGAGACCACCAGAGCGTGTAGCAGAAGTGGACACTGGCTTCACCTCTCAGGACAAGGAAATGGAGGTCACCACCAGGCTCAGGGAGACCACACAGCTCCTGATCACCCAACGGGTCTCAACAGCCAGAGCCACCACAGTCCAGGCACCTGTCACATCACATCCCCACAGAGATGTGCAACCTGGCTTCCATGAGACCTTGGCTCCCACAGCACCTGGCCAACCTGACCATCAACCTCCAAGTGTGGCGGATGGAGGTACTTCTGTTATCAAAGAGGTTACCGAGGATGGAGCTACCAATCAACTTCCTACAGGGGAGGGCTCTGGAGAGCAGGTGAGTGGCCACTAGTACCTGGCATCTTGGCACCTGGCACCCTAACATTCTTTGCCCTGTAAAGCACATTGTAGTCCTCACCACAGTGATGAAGTCACAGGGTCTCACATCTTCCTGCCCTAAACAAACTGATTACAGGATCAGGAGGCCCCTCAGACATCACTCAAGAGCTAGCCACCTAATGCTACACCAGGGTGAATTTTCTCTCTTAGAGCATCATGGGATTTTCAAACAAGAATGTGTGCTTTGTGTCACTTGAGGTGGTATCTGTGCCTTGGGCAGCCATGGTCCTGAGTGTGATTGCATTCTGTGACAGATGATGTGGGGTGGCGAGGGAACCACAACAGGGCGTGGCAGTGCTCTGGGTTGCTATTGTGTGGATGGCTCCAGCCTGACCTGATCCCGACTTGTCCTCCTGTAGGACTTCACCTTTGAAACATCTGGGGAGAACACAGCTGTGGCCGCCATAGAGCCTGACCAGCGGAACCAGCCTCCAGTGGATGAAGGAGCCACAGGCGCCTCTCAGGGCCTTTTGGACAGGAAGGAAGTACTGGGAGGTGAGTCTTCCTTCAAGTAGCTAGGAGAAGACAGACTGTGGCTCTGTGGTAGCCTGGGTTTCAGGGGTGCAGCCATCTTTAGCCATGGGGTGGTGAAGGAGAAGGCCACTTCCTGTGTTGTTCATACCCCTGAGCCCATATTGCCGCTGATCTGAGCCAGCCTCTGTCTACTCCCTAGGTGTCATTGCTGGAGGCCTGGTGGGGCTCATCTTTGCTGTGTGCCTGGTGGGTTTCATGCTGTACCGGATGAAGAAGAAGGACGAAGGCAGCTACTCCTTGGAGGAACCCAAACAAGCCAATGGCGGTGCCTACCAGAAACCCACCAAGCAGGAAGAGTTTTACGCCTGATGGAGGAATAGTTCTCCCCCCAACCCCAGCCACTCACTAGGCTCCCACTTGCCTCTTCTGTGAAAAACTTCAGGCCCTGGCCTCCCCAACAGTGTGTTGCCTCCTCAGTACCCAGACCCTTCCGGCTGTTCCTGCCCGAGCAGTCCCCAGGGTGTGCTGGGAATTCATTCTACTTCTTTGACTTCTGCCTAGAAGCTTGGGCGCAAAGGGTTTCTTGCATCTGACCTTTCTACCAAAGCCATGCCTGGTGTCTACTATTCTGACTTGGTTTCTCCGAATGGGAGGAGACCCAGCTCTGGAGAGAAAGGGGACCCAGCCGCTTTGGACCTAGATGGCTGGAGGATCCGGGGGACAGGAGAGGGGCTTCGGCTGACACATGCCATAGCACTTATCCATAGAGACTGCTAGGGTTGGCCATGCTGTGGTAGGGGATGGAGTCCAGGGCTCCTTGGAATTCACTTTGCATTGTGGGGAAGTCTACTTTAGATATCAACTTGTTTTTGCACATGTTTCCTCTAGTTTCTCTGTTCAGAGCCCCAGTAGACTTTACTTCTGGGATAAAGCAAGTCAGTTGACTGGTGTCCCTCTCCTTGCTTCCCTAATCTACATTCGGGCGACAGCATCGGGGTCATTAAGACTTTGTGTTTGTTTTTAACCTAGAAGAACCAAATCCAGATGCCAAAATGTAGGCTTAGTTTGTGTGTTGTCTCTAAGTTTGTCGCTCATGCGTGCAACAGGGTATAGACTATCTGTGTGGTGCCCCATTTTTGGTGGTCCATAAGTAGACTGGCTAGTCCAGGGTGTCACGGGGTAGCCACCTCTTGACCAGTCATGCCTGTGTGCATGAACTCAGGGCCATGGCGTGGCCTGGGCCACTGCGACATTGGAAGAGCCTGTGTGAGAACTTACTTCTATAGCACAGTCTAGGGATGGAGGGGAGAAGACTGTGGGGTGGGGAAGGGGTGGCAAGGGTGCCCAAGACTCTCCTGCCTTTGGTACCATCTCTGGTCACCATTCTTCTGAAGTTGACAAGACACATCTTGAGTATGGCTGGCACTGGCTCCTCCAAGAACCAAGTTCACCTTCAGCTCCTGTGGCCCTGCCCCAGGCTGGAGTCAGAAATGCTTCCCAAAGAGTGAGAGTCTTTTGCTTTTGGCAAAACGCTACTTAATCCAATGGGTTCTGTACAGTAGATTTTGCAGATGTAATAAACCTTAATATAAAGGAGTCCTATGAACTCTACTGCTTTTGTTTCTTCTCTGGGTTGGTGGCGTAGACGTGGCCAGCCCTCTCTCAAACCCTGGTAGCCCAGGGAAGCTTGGCTCAAGGCTATATTCCTCCAGTTGTATTCTCCAAGGGTAGGATCCTGGGTCCAGGGTTCCTCTAATTGTTTTTGTTTGTTTGTTTGTTTTCTTTTGACCAAACTTCTTTTGAAAGTTGGTAGGTTCAGCCAAGGTTTTACAGGACCTGATGTCTGCTCTTCTAAATGGTTTTAAGTAACTGGGACTCTAGTGTAACTTGATCTGGGGTCATTAGAGTCACATTGGTTTGCAGAGCAGACACCTGGGACAGCCTTCCTCCCACATGTTTGCTGGGACACTTCCGAGGACTCCTTGCTTATTTAGCCCAACAATGTTCCAGCTGCTGACGAGGCTGCTCTGTGGCCCAGCTAGACAAGAGACCTGTGGCCTGTGTTCATCCCAGAACTTATTGCCAGAACATAAAGGCTGGATGTGATGTGGGGTGGGGGTGGGGTCTGATCTGAGACAGCACTCAGCGGAGAGCTTGTGAGATGGTGGACAAGCCTCAGGCTGAGCCCATTCGTGTAATTGCAATAAATGGTATGTGTCCATTTGGACAACAGATTCTTTGCTAGTGGTTGTGGAGTGTCTTCTTGGTCCCGCCATGTCCTACTCTGTCCAGTTTTTGGAATGGGAGTCTAACTGGCCTGTGTTCTGGCTCGGTACCAAATAGCAACAGTTTCTGCCATCCTTGCCCAGGCCCCAGTGCAGGACTTTGAGCTTGCTTTCTCCCAGGACTCCTGGCTTTGCACCTGTCCAGCTCTCTTAAGTGTATAGTGCCAACTCCAGCTGGATAAGTCCTTTCCTTGGGGTCATGAGGGCTCTGCTGACTCTGAATTTCAGAGTTTGCTGTTTGTTCTGTTTGCTCATTGTGAAATTCTTTAAAAACTTTCACTAGCAATGTCTTGTCTGCACATTGGGAAAACAATGACAGCAAAAGATTGGCAAGTTGAAAAGGCACAGTACACCAAGGAGCCCCCCCCCCCCCAGGTTATGGGGCAGCTTGATATCTCCCCTTAGCCTCATGTGGTCCTGGTGCAGGTCAGCCCTGGCACTAGGCATGTTTTTTGTGGTGTGGAGCAGAAGGGACTGTACCTGTTGATACAGCAGGGCCTACAGGTTCCAGCTTGCTTGGCATGTGGTACTCTTTCCATGCATTTACTCCAAAAGCAGTACTGGTTGCTGGGCCTAGTGGCACAGGTGCCTGTAATACCAGAAACTTGGAAGGTTCAGGCAGGAAGCTTCTACATTGAAGACATACCTGAGTTACAGAGAATGAGTTCAAGATCAGCCTGGGCAGATTACAAGAGACCCTGTCTCAAAAGGAAAAGCATAAAGAAGGGGCCAGCAAGATAGCTCAGTAATCAAAAAGTTGCTTGCCACCAATTCTGGCAACCTGAGTTTGGTCCCCAGAACCACAGGATGAGAGAGAAAGAGCAGACTCCTGCAAGTTACTGTCTGGCCTTTACATGTATATACACAACTCTCCAACTTTTTTTTTTTTTTTTTTGCTTATTTAAAAAAGTTATATAATGTGTTTTGATTATATTCTTCCCTCCCTACCCAACTTCTCTCTCAAAAACCAAAACAAACAGCAAGAAATCCTGACAAAACAAAATAAAACACACACACACACAACATGGGCATGGAGCCTACTTTGGTGTGGCTGATATACCAATACAGTGTCACGGCAGTGAAGAACATTTTTCCTTTTCCCAGCAGGTATCAATTGCTAATAGCTTCGTGGTAAGGGGGTGGGCCTTTGTGGCCACTTCCCTTTCTCCATGAGTGATTTTGTATGGTTTGAACTTGTGCAGATCTTGTGTGTGCTGTCAAAGTCTGAGTTCATACATGTATCCGCCCTGTCGTGTCTGAAAGATGCCATTTCCTTGGAGTCATCCACCACCTCTGGCTCTTTCTGTTTCTTCTGAGATCTCAAGCTTTGAGAGTGGTGGTGGGAGAGTTTATCCCATTTAGGGCTGAGTGCTGCAAAGTCTTAATTACCATTTACTCCAAGAAGCAGCTTCTTTGATGGTAGCTAGGTGATGCCCTGATCTATGGGGTATAGCAATATGGTATTAAAAGTCATTTTATTGCTATGTCCTTTAACAGAATAACAGTAATAGGTTTTCTCCTAGGTCCCATAACCTCTCTACTCTCAGTTCCTTGGCTACTTTAGCCATGTCAGGTATGGGTTCCATCTCATGGAGTAAGCCTTAAGTGTGGTTTTTAAAAAGTGGTCGATTACTCCCCTAACGTCTGTGCCCTATTACACTGCTCTGTTTTGCGGGCAGGTTGCTGTTACAGGTCACAGGATTTATAGCTGGGTGACATTATGATTACTCTTCTTCCAGTAGCATGCAGGGCACCACCCAGGACCATGAACACTAAGCAGGGATGAAACTGCCTGTTGGACACCATCACAGTTCTTCAGGAATTAAAATTTTTAATTAAAAAGCTATTTTAAGTGTAAGCGGGGTTAGGGACATACAGCTCGGTGGTAGCACACTTGCCTATCTGGCATAAGCAAGGCCCTGGTTTTAGTCACCAATACTGACCAGAGCAACATTCCCTTAGGTCATTCATTTGTTCCTTAAACCCTGAGAATAAGAATGGTTCTTTTCCCGTTCCTGGGCTGGGTAGTAAAAACAGTGATGGACTTGGCCGCCAAGTTACCCATTAACTACTAATTTATATTCTGCCCAAGTCCTATGGAAAGAAGCGGAGTTGTTTAAACATCACTTTGGGGTCCTCAGGCGGCCTACAACCTGTCCTCATCTCACTCCAGCTCCATGTCCTGTGTTCCATTTTTTGAGATTCTTCTCTGCAAGGAGCCTTGGGACACATTTCTGTCACTTCATCTTCAGCTCCTGCCATTGGTATGAGTGTGCTAGTGTTCCGTGTAGGAAGTAAGAGTCATGGAATTCCCCTCTGAGGGTTCTGAGTGACTTTCTGAGGGTGACTTGATTGTGTCATCTTCTTAGTTTGCATCTGGTTTCTGTTTGAATTGCAGTCTGGGCCTTGCTTGCCTCTGGGGTTTTGCTCTGGATGTCTTGTCACGTTCAGAATGAAGATCCCAGACCTCTGCTCTTCCTGCTCTCAGGGATGCCAGTAACTGCAGAAACAAGGAGGAGGACAGAGTGGTATCCATGGCAGAGTTCTGTGGGGATTGCCAGGGTCACTGGGACTCACGTAGGCGGCCTTTGGACCAAGTCTGGAGGAGCAAAGTAAGTGGCCTCTGACACAGAGAAGAGGTACTCCAGGCAGAAGGCCCACCTCCACCAAAGACAGGGTTCCAGAGGCTCCGTGTTGACTGGAAAGCTGAGGCAGGTGCAGGAAGCTGAAGCAGCTGCAGTGTAGTGATAGCCCAGGAGAGTGGAGGCCTTGCAGATGGGTAGGGAGCATGGAGGGCCTGGATTGAGGTGCAGAGGCAGAACCATTGAGATGTTTGAAGTGTGCGCCTGGAGGCTCTTGCTCTCCCTTGTGAGCCTGAGGGAGCCCAAAGGCAAAGGTGTGAGATAAGCATGCCTTCTGTGCTAATGGTCTTGGGGAGGAAAGGTCATGGGATGAGAGGGGACAGTAGCCCTTGAGGTGAGCATTCTTGAGCTGTCTCTGGGTTAGACACTGGTTGGTCTCAGAAATCATGGTCACCTCAGAGGTATCCCATCTGCCTGTATCTGTCAAGCCATCTATGTCTCTTTTGGCCAGCTTGGCTCATGAAGCCTGACAGCTGCCTCAGAGGGGTGAGCATCTGCTCCCTGAAACTGGGAAGTGGTCCTGAGCCAGGGGCCTAGGGGGGTTTAAAAAATACTTTGGCTTCCCTGGCCATAAAGGTGTAGAGTTTCAGGCTCTTCCATCATTACCCAGCTGTGGCAAAACCTGGCTGTGACAAAGCCTTCAGCTGGCTGGGGCAAACCCTCCTGGCTTTCTCCCTCCATTCCTTATTGCCCAACACCAAAGCACCCTCCTACCTGTGTACCTCCCTTGGCCATGCACATTCATACTCTTACTGGAATCACCCCAATCAGGTCCTCAGCTGTTCTATTCAATGCCTACTCAACTTCAAGTTAGGAGAGACACAGAAGCCCTGCCCCACTACTTCCTGGTCACTCTTCCTTTCACACATCTCTTGCTAAGATGGCCGCTGTTTGTTGTGCAATAGTCTGAGCCTGCAAGAGTGCCTTTGGGGTCTTTGAGATGGCTGCCTATGCTGCTATCCTGCCCTGAACATCCAACGACTCTTAGACACCTAGAAATAAGAGATACAATGGTGTTGAGGGGAGAGGAAGGGACTGGATGGAGCATTTCTGGACTGTTGCAGGGTGTGTCAATTCACACAAGCATTGGGAGGCTTGCATGATAGTAATTATTGAAGACAATAACTCTGTGGTTCCAGTAAAATGAGAGCAGGTGTCTGTCAATACGTGTGCATGAGAACGCTCCTACCATCCATAGCCACATACACCGGACACGGAAGTAAATGTCTATCAACAGGAACAGAGAAAAGCAATGGGTGGCACATTTATAGAAAGGAACACTAGTCGGCAATAACCAAGGAACCAAAGCACTAAGGCACTCATAACACAGGCAACTCACTAGCTGCTTGAAGCTAGAAGCTAGAGGAGCCTAGGCTGCACAATCCCAGCTATCGGAGGCTAGTTGAACATCATAGAAAACAGTGGGGCCCTCTGGCCAAGGGTGTGTGTGGTATTGACTAGGCAGGGACACGAAGGAACCTTCCAGGATGCAGGAAATATTCTCTGGTTTGATGTGGGTGGTGATTACAAGGGTGAAGGTCTATGTAAATAAACCATCAGTCATGTACTTAGACGAGTGTACTCTAGATATTGATTCTGACTAGGAAAGTTACATGAAGAAAAACAGCTTGTTATCAAAGAGCTTCTGAAACTCTAATTAGCTTCTTGA